TAAAAGGAACCTCCTTCAACCGCCTAAAAGGAACCTCCTTCAACCGCGAACGGACTTGGGCAGTGTAGTTACGTGGCGCAAAACGGCTTCGCGCCCCGTTTTGCGCCACGTAACTATAACGTAGGATAAATAATTTTCAGTAGAATAAAATTCGTAACAGGATTGAAGGTCGCAAACTCCCAGAAAATATAAAATAAAGATTAGAAGGTCTACGAAGAACGCCTCGCAGTCGTCCAATTGAGCTAAAATTTTGCATGTAGGTAGTGTGTGATTTTGAAAACGCAAAAGAGTTGCACTCACTGATGTTGAATTTATAAATAGCACTAATGCTTGCCTATGATAGAAAATTTCACATTTTGTTCTAGATCACAATGTCTGCTGCATCCGTGTCGTGCATTATCTGTAAAGAAATCCTTATCAGTGATGTTGCATCAGGCCCTTGTGGCCATATGTTCCATAACAATTGCATTAAGCAATGGATACAAAAGTAAGTTCTTGTTTTTCGTGCTCTATGTTAATACTTCTTCGTTTACATTGATTTCATCATACACTACAGCATATACAAGTGTGTTGTTACTGGGTCGTTATTGGATAGATCCATATTTGCAGTAGACTGCAAATAGATATATTTATGCACAGTATAGGAGGTATACTGTTTCACAATGCCCTGCACGTAAAAACTGTTTTCAAACTGATATTGTATTGAAAAACATAAGGATCAATCACTGACAAAGTTCTCGTTTTATTCTAGTCGTAATTGTACACAATTATATTAATCACAAAATAAGGATAGTATTGCATTTGACAAATTTGTTTAATTTGAAGGTCTGCCACTTGCCCTCAATGCCGTGCAAAAGTTACCTTGGGTAAAGTATTAAAGTTGTATCCTACATTCACTGATGAAGCTATGGATGACGTGGGTGACCTACATATGCAGCTTGAGGACAGGACACGCAAATTAAAAGAAAGTGAAGAAAAATGCGAGAGCCTTAGTTCGCAACTTGTTAAAACTGAAGCTACACTTGAAAAAACTCGGTAAGTGTTGATGCTATCCAGAGTTACAACATTTGTCTAAGTTTAAAAATACTTCTTTGAAACCTTTTTATTTTTGTTTCATTTATGTAAAAGACAGAAAAGATAACTTACCTTATTATTCTAGAAAGAACAATATTCCAAACTAAAATAAATATTATTTCAGGCAAATGATGTATGAAAACACCATACGTGATATGAGAATCGAGGCGTCTCTTGTCGCTGTGACTGAACAAGCAAAATATTTAAAGGAAGAAAATAAAAAAGTGAAGAAGTTGCAAAAAGAAAATGTTCTTTTGAGCGACAAACTTACAACGTTACATGGGTATTTAAGTTTAAAATTTGTTCATTACTTATTTCTCTTGCCATACAAATAAATATCTTTTGCCAACACATTTTATGCTGCATCTATAAAGGATATGACATTTCTATATGGAGGATATAGAAATGCCATATCCTCCATGTTATTATATTATAGTGTCATTCTTTTAACCAAATTAAAAAACTAAAGGAAATATAAATAATAAAAAAAGCCAACTTTACAAGGAAACGCGAAAAACACTTAACGCTTTAACTGCTTGTCGCGTCTTCTTGTAAAGTTGTTTTTTTTTGGCTTGTACCCATTTTCACTAGAGCTACAGAATATTAGTTTACTATTAATTTGTAGAATTAGTCTCACAGAAACAAACTTAAGAATTATAAGTGTCTTTGAATTTCAATAGCAATTTTGTTCTTAGTATACATACTATAGTTTCTATTTTTAACAATGAAGAAAGTTTGTCTGATTTTTCTCCAGGTTACAAGTAGTCCTGGACGGTACTGAGAAAGATGTTGAAGAAATGACAAAAACATATACTGATATAAAAATGATTGCAACATTTGCAATTGCTTTGAAAAGGTATTGTATTGTTGAGCTCAAAGATATCAATTTTCTTTTCCTTTTTAGTTTTTATGACTATTTATTACCAAGTGACGGGACGAACAAGTCGTGCACCTGATGGTAAGCGACATGCCTGTCTATAACAGTTGCCGTGCCACTCAGAGCTTTAAAACACAAAGATCTGAGGGGCACTGCCACTGCGCCCGTCACCCTGAGACATAAGTTGATAAGTCTTATGTGCATGTAATTTCACCAGCACCCTTACCCTTCAAAACCGGAACACAGTAATGCATCACATTACTGCTTGGCGGCAGAAATAGGTAAGGTGACAGTACTACCCTGGACGAACTCTTTCACAAACTCTACTGCTACTAAAAAAAAAAGCATTACTTACATGCAAGGGCTACCAATTATTTCTGAAACTGAAATGGTCACCACTCTCATCATTCGAAAAAAGATTCTAAAAATGCATGAAGGGCCACCTGTACTGGAAAGCTTCGTATCAATAAATAGAAGTAAGGAAGTCATGTAACCTGTCATAGCTTAGTTTGGAGAATGCTCGCCTCCTTAGTAGGATGGCTTGGGTTTGCATCCTATGCCTGCACTTCTTTGTGTGCTGCTTCTATACGAAGCTTCATCATTTTTGAAGCTGCCGCACGAACGAGGAAACCTGTGCTAAAATTGAACCAGATTCTTTAACCGGGAGATTTTCTTTCATGACAACCTTTTCCTTCCTTCCTTTTCCTTGGATTTCCCCTTCATTATTAGTTGATGCCAGCACTACTGTGAGTCTTACCCAAGCCAAGTAATATTCATGTTAGGTTTATTTTATTAATTATCACTTCGTTTAATGGTTTAAAAAACGTCACAGATTTGCTCGTCGGAGAGAAAGGCTCGTATTAACAACTCTTCAGAGATATGAAAAATTTCCTCATCTGCCATAACTTACTTAGATGAGTGAGAGAGAAGAATATAAATGTTCCAAGGCTGCTAATTGTTTTTGAAACCACTGGTCATTGTCCAGTTATGGTTGTCATGGTCCATCAAGTCTCTACTGAGATATAATGATAATGTTACTCTGCTAAAATCTACTTTTAATGGCAGTTGAGTCTATAGAGTGTCACTGGAATAGCAGTGATGGCATTCATTCAATCACTAACGATCGATTTTTCCTTACTAAAACTACCATGGAAATTACTATGGACGTTTTGATTTATATTTTGTTGAAGCAATTTAGTTTTCAAGTTAAATGCGTTTATGGCAAATAATTAGTAGACTTCGCTACCGACGTGTCATCGACTCGCTATTGAAGAGCAGAATACCAAAAAATTGCAATGGCAGTTGAATACTAGTTTGATAACTGGCAGTGGCGAGGCGTCCATATAACTCGATTTTCACCGGCTTGCCTATTTTCCACGTATTATCATTATACTACATATTGTGCTAAATTTTATGTGTACAATTCGAGACAATGTCCAAGTATGGAGCTTCATTCGCTTCATGCGTCTCTTAATGTGGTCGAGTATTATTTGACAGTAACTGTTTCCGACGGTGTACAGCGCCTAGACGAATTAATATTAGCTGATTTGGGCCCTTGGTTGTGGTGAAAGAAAAAAATAAATGTACATAAGCTTACAAAATGTAAATATTTATTTCAGGGCTCTTACTGACACTGAAAAAGAAAAATCTCAACTGATGGCGAAGCTAAAATTACTTACGCAAGAGTTGCAATTAGAGAAGGGTAAAGGTCAACTGTCAGCGTATGTATAAATAACACTTATATAAATATTTTCATTTAACTAACGAACTTAAAAACGTTTGACCTTAAAATGAGGACGCCCGGTGCAGTCAACCTGCTGCGTATAAGATTGTCAACTTAAGCCACGGTTGTCAGCAGTTCGCACCAAGCGTTTCCACATATTATATGGTGAACGGCTATAGAGTAGAATTCACTGCCTGCAGACTTGTTCCTTGAACGTTATAACTTGAACCTTTTCAAGGGGAGAGTGAATAGGCATTATTTAGGCGTGCATTTTCCGTCGTCGAATTCACCGTCACTTTCCTTAAGGTGAGATGGAGATCAAATGCGCACATATTTTTTATTAAAAAAAATCAATATTGTATTATTCAATAGTAGAAGAAATTAGTAGTTTCAAGTTCCGCAACATGCGACTGTACAAAATACTCCTTCGTTACAATCGGTCTACTTTCACTGTCGGTCCACTTTCACTATTCGTCTGCTTTCCCGATCGGTCACTTGTCCAAATGGTCCACTTTCCCGATTTGTCTATTTCCCATTTCGTCTACTTTCTCGATCGGTCCACTTTCGCAATTCGTCAACTTTCCCGATCGGTCCACTCGTTTTTCTCGATTCGTCCATTTCCCATTTCGTCTACTTTCCAGATCTGTCTACTTTCTCGATCGGTCCACTTGTCCAAATGTCCACCTTTTAAGCATGTAAATTAATACAATTTTACAAAAAAAAATCCGTTTTACAAATTTTCGAACGTAGTTTATAATTTGATAATTGCAGATTGTCATGCTGCTTTACGTTAACTATGATTTGAAAAAATTATTATCAAGTAGACTGTTCGTTTTTAACCGACTTGAAAAACGGAGTAAGTCTCAATTCGACTGTATTTTTTGTATGTATGTTATGCGATAACTCATTTGCGGCATTTGTTTTGGCAACCGATTTCGATGATTCTTTTTTTTGTTGGAAAGAAAGTAGCTCGTAGTGATCCCATTTAAATTTGAAGAAAATATTCCACCTCAAAGGGTGGCAAACTAAGGGGTGAGTCCGGTTTCGCGCATTTTCCGCTAACCGATTTCAATAAAACTTGGCAAATAGATGTAATTCCACAAACTTTTAAGGTCGGTTTTTTTAGTACTCTACTGTGATTATCTATAGATGCATCATAAAGTAGACCTATCGGGAAAGTAGACCGACCGGGGAAATTGACCAAATGGGAAAGTAGACCAAATAGGAAAGTAGATCAAACAGGAAATTAGACGAAATGGGAAAGTGGACCAAACAGGAAAGTAGACGAAATGGGAAATAGAGGAATCGGGAAAAACAAGTGTACCAATCGGGAAAGTAGACGAATAGTGAAAGTGGACCGGTCGGGAAAGTAGATCAATGCGTGATGTTTCATTCTCCAACTTGTTTTCAGTAGGCGTTCTCCAGATTATGACTCATTGCAAGACACTCATAGAAGCCCTTTGGTTAAAAAATCATCACCGCAGAAACGTAATCCTAAAATGAAGGCAAAAACTGCTGCTCACGTAGAACCGAATGAATATCTAAAAAAAAGGAAAATCACTTCATACAGTAGCGACATGGATGGCGATAGCAGTGATAGCGTCGATAGCAATATCGAACTCTATAGGCAGATCCGCCCGGTTAGTACCTCCACTTTAGAAACTTACTTTGTATTTAGATCATAGTTTGCCAAACCCTACTGCCCTCTAGGACTCTTCAGCGCCAACTGGAGCCTCGGAAGCAATTGAGGGCGTTGACGCTGTCCAGGTGGTGCTACCGCATTTGAAAAAAAAAATCAGAATTATCTATATAAACTACACGACATTATATAGATTTTAAGGCTTTCGTGGTTATTCACGAAATGATTATCATTAATTTCAGGCTTTTTTATCATTAGTTCCAAAATATCGGGAAAATAAAAAGAAGTCATACCGTGTTAAGAAGCCTGAAATTAGTGATAATCATACACTACATCATGACATACAGTTAATATAACCTAGAAAATAATTATTAAGAGAGTCGCAATTTGTCAGTTTTGAGTTAAATTTTGTTTCGGAAATATTTAGTGTTAATATCTCAAAAAATTGGATATAAAACTTTGTGCTGACTTTTCCAAACTGTGTTTTTCAAAAATGTGATACCATTTTCTATAGATTTTACAAAACAACGACTATGGAAAAATACTGATATTAAAAAGTTATATAAAAGATGAGTAATAGGTTAGCGTGGTATGGCCATATCAATCTCTTGAGGAAGGTCAAAGAAAAGATAGATAGATTGATGACTTGGATGGATGGCGTGAGTATGGAATTGACGGCTGATTGATGAAAAATACATGTTGTGCCGACCTCACCTAGCGTGGTATAAGGACAGAAGATTAGGAATGAAGAAGTCTCACGGGCCCACTGCTCTGCCTGTTCTTAAACTTTAACGAAACCAATGTCGAAATCTAACTTGTCAACGTTTACTTTAGTTATTATTGGTAATAATGTATCATTTTTGTTATACTTGCAGAGACGTGTGGCGCAGAATAGTCCATACTCTCCTTACGTGCAAGTCAAGCAGGGGTGGCTTGGCACTATAATGAATAAGAACAAAAAACTGGCACCAAAAGCCAAGCAAAATCGTTAGGTTGAGCACAATCAACTGTTACAATTGTACGTATAGAGTCATAATTACAGGCAGTATTAATATTGTACTATTGTCGTCAATCGTTTGCCGCTTTCAATTTTCAAGTCTAACAGAAAATACTAAAAGTGGTCTTAACCAGGTAAGGCTGAAACTGGGTTTAAGGTGTGTGTATAAGTATGTGATTTAGATTTTCATTAATAGGATTTGTTTCTATCATTCCTTTGATCATTGCTGCATTTAGATCTTGCACCATTCCATGTTATTAAAAACCATCCACATGAAACTTGAAGAATCATTTTATTAATTATTCTTCAAGTTGTAAAAATGTAAAACATTGTAATAAGTACAATGTATGTACAACAATGTAAAAATTTAAATCCGAAATAATTTATTTGACTGGCAGTACAAAATAAACGAAAATACAATTTAATAATAAACACGTCAGATGGGATAGGTTATTTTCAATCGTATTTTCGCTTAGCTATAGGCTCAACTCACACTGGCGCAGAGTCGAAGCGTCGCGTCGCGTCGCGTCCTGTTTTTCAACTACACCGCCTGGCAATGCGCGTCGACGCGCGACGACGCTCGCATTAGTGCGCCGGGATCACAGTGTGGTCGGCGTCTGACGCCTCACGGCGCCCAAGTGCGTTGCAAAACACAAATTAATAATGGGAAAATAGAGATGAATATGCTATAGTCGAAAAACATGATGCATCGCGACGCTGCGACTCTGCGCCAGTGTGTGTTGAGCCTTACAGTAGGAAGTACATTTATTTATATTAACTACTTCCATGGCTTAATGGTTACCATCCTGGTCTGCCACACAGAGGTTCCGGGTTCGATTCCTGGGCGATATGTTTGTTTGGCGTGCATCTATTTCTCTCGTGAGTTTGGGTGTAATTTGTGGTTGTCTATGTGTGTGTCCATGGCAACCGCGATACAGGGTTGCCCTAGTTCAGGGCTATGGGTGTCTGCGTTATTATTATTCTTATTATTTCAGACACTGTTCTCACTGATATTCTGACAGAGCCCAGAGCTCATAAAAAAAAATTCAACACACGTACACATAGACATCATACTATTGATAATTAAAATACAATTTGAACATATTCATGAACAACGCAAAATAAATTACAAGAAACCTATGCTGCAGCCGCGCCACTACTAATTTTCATATTTAGAAGCGCAGATACAGCGCCACTTTTGCAGTCACAATTAGTGAACTATATTGCTGAAGCGTGGCTGCAGCACCACTGTAGCATTCTAAGTCGTCGTGGTGTAAGGCACCCCTAAACAGATGTCTCATTATATTCCGATAAAAATCGATAATGTTGGAAAGCGACATAAAACTCGAATTATAACACTGAGGAAGTTACGTAAATAATGATCTGAACATCTACTTATCAATAATATCACTCATAATGGACAGAACGCTGTCCACGCTGTAAACGTATTTATTTATTAGTATGTTAAGAAAATTAAAACTGATATGAATAGTGTAAGTAATTAAGTGTTAGATTTAAAACGTAAGTGTCAAAACAGAACAAAGAAAATAAGTGAGATTTTAGTTTTGTAATGTTGGGCCTCCGTGAAGACGGGAGGTATGGGAGAAGATTGCGTGTGGCATTGGCGACACGTTGCTATTATAACGTTTAACGTCGTTATGCATTAACTTTCTATTATCCTTATGGTCTATTAGAGACCAAGTTTACGTTGACGCAATTTAGAATGTAAACAGCGTCCCTTACTACAGCGTCACCATAATCGAATATTAGAAATTTGACTAAAAAACCGTCATTCTAGTTGCAAAAGACAAGATTTAGTCGGTCGCCATTTTAAAGACACCATGCGCCAAATTCTGCAAGTCATTGCAATTCCATTGATCTAGTTGCAATGGCAGTTGAATCTCAGTGGAATGGCAATGATGGCATATTAATTCATTCAATTACTAAACATCGATGTTGCCTTATTTAAAACTACCATGGAAATTACTATGCATATCTTAATTTTTATCTCGTTCAAACAGCCATTTAGTCTTCCAAATTAAATATATAAGATCAAAACACTGCGCCATCCACTCGTCATTGAAGAGCAGAATGCTAAAAAGTTGCAATGGCCCAAGTCTGCAAATTTTAAATCATCTCAGTGAATTATGATGTTTTTATTTTGATAATACACACGCAAGTTACAATAAAAGCTTACAATAAATTTTTTTTTGATAAAAACAGTACAGATGAAGGGCACTGGGACCCCACAGGCCAAGGGTTTCGACTCCAAAGGCAGTAAATAGATAGCCGAGCCGAGATGCTGGTACTTATTACTTTTTGTTCTTTCCACCAGCTCGGCTGCGGACCCAGCCCTCTTGATGGTGTGTATTTCACGATGATATATTCGAGTAATTAAATAATAAAAATTGTCACCAAAATTGAGTACAAAAACCTTACCTGAAAATTACTGAATGAATGAATGCCATCACTGCAATTCCACTAACACTGAACTATCATTGCAACTAGATTTTAGCAGAATTGAAATTATTATCATACTTGCAGTGTAATCTCAATGGAGTCCCAATGAAATTACAACGGTAAGTTGTTTTGAAGAAAATTAGCAGAATTGGGGTGCTTTTTACTCCATGCTTAGATCTGATTGTACTAAAAAGGTAGTAATAGTAACGTGGTTTACTCGTTTCTAGTCGTAAAAACCTAGATTGAAGTCTTTACATTCGCATGGAATTAGATAATTTCGGGTGTACTATTTTTCAGCTTGAGAACCACAGTTCCAGTTTCGGATTCTTATGATAAAGATGTGAATTTGTCGGTTCTAGACGCAATAATTTAGAAGTAGTCTGTCTTATAATTCTTAGGAAAATCATATTCAGATATCGGACTTAATATATTTTTTTGCCAATAAAACAGTTTACATCACGATTTAATGACAAGTCAAATTTTAAATGCTCGATTATGGTCACGCTGGAATAAGGCACGGAAATAAACAACAGCCGCTGGGTTGGACCATTATATTACGCCTTGTAAAGGTCGACAGAAAAAGCTTGTAAATACGAGCTTTTTCAAGGATTTTTTACGGAGAAATATGTTTATATTTTTTCGAACTCTAATGAAATATACATTTAGATTGAGAAAAGACTGCGGTTTGTATAAACAATTTTACAAATAGAAAAAGTATTGTCTCTTTTCAACTTCTTATTGCATCGATGGCACTGTAATAAAGCTGCCCGCGTCTGTAACCGCCATGTCAGCGTGCTTTAGAACCAATAGAGGGTGAAATGAATGACAAAGTTTACATTTGTAAAATCAGATATCGCAACCAATATATTTTATTTAACTCTAGCTTCTATGGATACATTTTCCTTTGGAAAGGTTTGGTAATTTATTGCATTTTTCACTTTACTACATAAACTTATAAATACGTACTTTCAAATAAATGTTTATTGTGATGTAATCAAGATGTACTTAATAAAGAATTTCATGATATCAAATTGGTCTATATTATTTGTACCCTTGTGTTGTGTTTCGAACTCGCAGGACCCATCGTACCACTAAGCAAACCACTGGTAGTGTGGTGGGTATTTTTTAAATCCCTACCGTCCTACCAAATCGTAGTTCGATAATAGTGTGGCACCCATGAGTAAAAAATATTTTTATAACACAAAATTTTATTATAATGAAAAGTAAGATCATAATCTCACATGACGGTAAGTGCTGATATAGTCGAGAACCGAACTTAATTGCCGAGAAGGTCGTGTCCGTCAGTATGGCTGGACCAAACGAGATGTACAAATCAAACTGTGCTCATTATTCACTACCTCTATTTTCTACTATTTAGTAACTTTACTGACATATTTCTACCTTTGCGCTAACTGAAATATTAAAGAAATTAAGTGGCCAGCCATTCTGACGTCTGGTTGGCTGGACCACTTTACGTTTTTCATGGTTCCAGCAGTATATAATTTATATTTTTTATATAACTTTACTACCGAATTTCTACCTAAACACTTTTTTTTCACTATTTTAGGAAGCTTCTATAAAAAGTTATCTAAAAAAATAATAAAACGCCTTTGTAAAAGGTGTCTTCTAAAAAGACAGTTGATTTTCTCAAAAAAATGTATGTTTAGGTAGAAATTCGGTAGTAAATAATTATATAAAGAAAGTAAATTATATACTGCTAGAACCATGAAAAACGTAAAGTGGTCCAGCCAACCTGACGGACACGAAAATCTCTATTTACTGACTTGATACTAGGAAAATGAAAATTATACTTCTAGTAAATATTTTATTTATTTATAACATAAATAACAATTACAAACTTAACTAATTCGAATGTAAACATTCAATGTAATAATTAGGTTCTTAATAAGTAAATACAGGTTTTGTGGAGACGAGGCACTTATGCTGTGTTCAGGGTCCATATCGTTGGCTGAATTCGAAAACCTCGTAATCTCCATTAATGACTACTCGGTAGGCACAAAAAACAGAATATGTAGAAATAATTATGTAACAATCTATGATTATAGCTTTATAACTAAAAGATGGTGTACAAACTATACTTTAACCTTTAATTAACAGATATTACGCTTGAAGTGTAAAAAAGGGATTTCATCCAGAAACGGAGTTACGAGGTTTTTAAATTTAGTCGACGATATACAGGGTGTAATCGTTAAGGGTGGTCAGGCGATTATATCGTAAATATAAGAGATATCAAAAACTTTTAAACTGATATCGAAAGTATTCATAGAGGCTTTAGTTTCGAAATTTCAAATAACTGCTTCGAATACAAAATTTTGCACTTCAAAATAAACACCATTTTATTTTTGTTCAATTAAAAGACAATTTTATTGCTTTATTTATAACAGTTTCGTTATCTGTAAACTTATTGTTACCTCATAAAGAAGGTCAACTAAAGTGTTTAACGATACAATTTCTAGTTTTATTTAAAAAAAGGTTTAGATGTCAATTTTCTTAGTAGCTTACGTACTTTTGATATCATTGTCTCTACCACGAGTTTACTGTGACAGTCGTCGATAGCGACCGCGTAAATTACTTCACAGTTTTGTATGGCAAATTATACACAACAGAAGAAACAACATTTATGTATACAAACATTTTACGCAATTGCTAGTAATCTCATAGTCGAGGCACAGTTTAAAGATTTTTGATATCTTTTATATATACGGAATAATCGCCTGGGCGCACTTAACGATTACATTACAACCTGTATAATACGTTCTACATTTTGACATAATATTTATATCAAGTAATGGAGAACCCTTTTTTTTGTAAAAGACAGTTTATTTTCAATAGGTATATATTATCTATTTTTGGCACGTGGATGTTGACCATAAAATAGCAATTAGAAATAATTGATTCAATTAATATAGAGCAATAAATACAACAATTAACTGTAAATGCATTGTTCGGATTAACACTAACAAAGTATTTGTGTAATTGTATTATCTAGTTCTTATTAGAGTTTACAATTTTTTCTAAACTCTGACGTAATTTCTTCTTTATAAAAACACGTTTTAATGAATGGCATTGCTTAATAAATTGCCAAAAAAAACATAAATAAATACAGGTTATCTTCAATAACTTAAAATGTAATATTCCCTACTGAAAAACATCATTCTGCAAAGTTACAGTGCGTAGACATTACAATTAAAGGTTTCTAAATTGCATAGCAATTTTTCAGTTACTCACAATTGTATTTTTATAGACAGGAATGAATTTTTTCGGTAGTCTATTTGTTTTATATGTAATAGATAAAAATAGTTCCTCCTAATTTATTTTTTGTTTTATTGCTATTGACATTTTCCTCGGATATATCGTCAGTATTTTGTAAAAAAGGTAAGCGACATTTCGTAATTTTTCATGGGAGCAAGTTGTATTTTTATTCAAAATGTTTACTTTCTGTTTTCAAATTCAATTTTTGTTTTAATTAAGTTAAAATATGACGTTAATATTTTAAAACCGTGCCGTTAAAACCTAAAACCGACTGCCCCGACTAATCTACGAAATGTCGCTTATTAAGCCCATTCTACAAAACATCGATGATATTTAAAGTGAGGCTTCTAATATCTTTGTGACAGTATGGGAAAAACAAATACCGTTTTTTAACCGGCTTCAAAAGAAGGAGGAGGTTCTCAATTCGGCTGTGTTTTTTTTCTTGCATGAATGTTACGCGATAACTCCGAAAATTTGTGAATCGACTTCGATGATACTTTTTTTTGTTGGAAAGAAGCACCTCAGATGTGGTCCCATTTAAATTTGAAGAAAATATTCCACCTGTCAAGGTGGCAAACTAGGGGCGAATGATTTTTGAGGTCGTTTTTTTTTTGTTCCATGATGTCTTTAGTGTCCGTTCTCTATCTATGGTTTCGTTCCAAATGAAATACGTGGGTAAAACGCTAATGAAATATCTAAGAAAAGAAATCATAATTAAAAATGTAAAATTCATAATTATGATAAATGCATTAACTTACAAAGTTAATAATCAAATATCAATAATCATCAAAGTATGTGTTCTAGACTACTTATTTTTTGTGTCATGTTTTATTTGAGATCTAGCCATGTTAAGAAATGTTTTTACAGACCATGGATATTCTGGTCAAGTTTAATTCGAATAGACAAAATTGGTATAAATATAAAGGGCCCACATTATGAGTTTGATGTGGGCCAATCAATTCTATTCACAGTGGTTGAAATATTTTCAGTCACAGTTCTTAAAATAATTGGACAATCTAAAAAATCTGTGAAATGCGTTGATGAAGTTGGGGCGCTGAAGATAGGGGGTTGGTGACTAACTCCACGGACAGAGCTTGCTTAAATAAGAGGAAAGGATTCTAGTTAAAATCTTATCTACGAATACTTATTTAAAAAATTCGTTCTAGCCTTACTTAGAAACGTATAAAAAATGCTTTTTAAACAATTTTTTGTTACACTCTCTTTTTTATATTTTGTACATTACTACAAAGAAAACGTTAACGGTTACTATATTGTTGGTGGCGGGTCAATTAATTTGGCGCCAAATCTTAGAGGTTTCTTTTCTGGATATTGTCATCGGCAATCCATTACACGTCTCTCTACTAACACAGGTCTCCTATAAGGTTTTGTTCTCCACGCTCTGGCTTAATGAAGTTGGGGATGTTAAACTTTTTCCATCATAACCTGTATGGTTTCACCACAAGTTTCAAATTCAAAGTTAACATGGGGATCGACCTTTGAAATAAGTAGCATCCGTTTATATCCATCCGTCTATATAGATGTAGGTACCATAAATCTCAGATGGTACGTACATAGACGATCATCGATTGTATACATGGAGCTATAACACTATAAAGAAGAAATTCAGATGAACCTTATTTGTAATTTCGCATATGAAATTCATGAGAATTTTGTATCGGTACATTTCAATTACCGCATAATACGGTGTAGTAAGTATACTTGTTTTGATAGGTAGACAATTTTTTTTTATATATTACATTCGACTGAACTGGCAACCGGTACTATCTCAATTTCGACAAGTTTACAGGTGAAGAAAAAACTTGTTTGCGTCATTCATATAGCATCTGGTTTATTAAATAAAAATAAATAGTTTTTAAATATTTTTATTAAACATGTTACTAAAAACAATGAAATTCTTGCAACGCTGCGGAGTATGAAATAGAATAAAATTGTATTGAAAAGTGAAATCTTTAGAAAATTGAAATAGTACCGGTTGCCAGTTCATAGTCGAATATATTATACTAGTCGTAAGACAAAGTTGTTTGTTGTGAAATATAAAATAAGCATCTTGAATTTGTACCCTTGCCACAAGCGTTATTCCACGAATACTATCATTCTAATTGTTGCCTATAGAATACATAAATTAACTTACATTTCGTTGTATATGATGTCCAGGCCTGAGACGTTGACGGACCAATTCAAATTACGACACGGTTGGACGACGTGTTGGTTTTATTGTGATCGGCAATGTAATACAAATAAGCGTTATTCCAACAGACGATAATTTAAGCTTGTGGTATAGTCGTTGTATAGTGAGTACTAAAACTAGAGTTTAATAAAGTAATATGCGCTTTTCGACTTGCTTACGGCATATTGGACATACGGTGATGCGGTCGCCGCACATCTGGCACATCCCGTGCCCGCATAGGAAGATCATATTCTTCAGGCGGTCCAGGCAGATGGGGCACATTGTCTGCGGCACACAATTAAGTATATTAATAAAACCATCATTTAAAAACATTACATCCAGATGAAACTTTTAAGCTAAAACAAATACGTGAAGACACTTATAACACAGGCGGGTGTGGTTTAACCACACTCCGTTATATGTGAGCCTATTATGGCGTCGACAGTCTTACACATGCAAAATGCTACGTGATTATGTTGGGTCACCTGTTCTTTGATGTCCTGCAGCTGCTGTTGCAGCTTCTGCACATCGGGTGTGGGAACGGGTGGCGTGGCGGATGTTGCTGGGGGCGCGGGTGGCGCCGGGCGAGATCCGTTGTTCATGTGGTAGGGTGCCGCCGGCAGCGGAGCCGGCTGGCCCTTGTTCACCTGCACTTGCGCCAGATTGCTGCTGCCCTCCTTCTCAACTGAACATTGAACAATATTTTCGTTTCGTATTTTGCGTTTCTACGAATAACTAAGTCGGGAGGCAAAAGCTTAGTTACAAGGAGGAACTTACAGTCCATTTTGTGAAGGTTGTGCGTGTTGGAAGTGGAGGTGGACGCGATCGGGGCGGGCGCGGGGCCGGAGGAGGGCCCGGGCGCGGCGGCCGAGGGCGGCGACGCGGGCTGCTGCAGCGGCGTGCGGCACGTCACGCACTTGCGCATGAGCGGCGCGCAGGCGGCGCACGCGCACACGTCGCCGCACGGCCGGAACACCACCGTGGCCGCCGCCTCCGAGCACACCACGCACTCGCCCACGCGCTGCCGCGCCTCCACCGCCGCGCGGCACACGAGGCACTTTTTCACCTGTCGCCCGAACGTGTACGTCAGTGTCGAGTTCTATTGCTGGCGTAGTGGGTCATCAACGTCGACGCGCAAATCTTACCCTGGCAGCGCACACGTTGCAGCAGCAGATATGCCCGCAAGGGCGGAACAGCGTGTCGCGCTTGGCGTCGGAGCAAACGAGGCACTCGTCGGCGGTGGGGTCGCTGGTGTAGGTCGGGGGCGCATCGGCGGGCGGAGGCGCCGCGGCGGCGGACGCTTGCTCGCCTTCGCTCGCGACCGCAGCCTCTCCCCCTAAACCCGCGCCCTCCTTGCGGCAAGTTGTTAAAGTCTTGCACAGGTTCGGGTCGGGGCACAGATCCAGTGGCGTTTGACCTGAAGGACACGATTTTCAATGATTTTTATTATATATTACTTATTTCATTTCCTACAAATTGGTAACGATAGTAAGTAACGCTTAACGAATACCTTTCTTGTTCTTAACGGAGAGATCGGCGCCATGCGCAGCGAGGAAGCAGGCGATGGAAGCAGAAGACTTCTTGTCGTGCGTGTGCGCCAGACCGCTGAGCAATGCTGTGTCACGTGCATCCTGCAGCCGTCGCAGTTGCTGTAACGTATGGTGCCGCAGCGCCTCGTGTAAAGGCGTGTCGCCATCCTGGAATGTGAAGTTTCATGATTTAGAAAAAATATTGTAACACCAATCAATGTCTCTCCGGACCATACTCCTTGAAAGTTCTATTTCAGTCCACAGGCTGGGCTGTTCTGTATGTATTAACTACAAATTGCGTGGAGCTTCAATTTCGCATAGCGTAGAAAAGCTTCGTATTGCGATACCGGGTAAGCAATTGATGATAACCATCTGAAACTCATAAACGCCTATTCGGAATTTATACACGGACTACTATAACTGACCGATTTTAAATGTAAGTGTATGTTAGGGCGCGTTCTCACTTGTCGTTGTCGTGTAGTTTGCAGTGTCGTGGCTTGTATATTTAAATGAAGTTGTTCACATATAGCACGACACGATTAACTGTCGTTCACGATTTTTTATCGTTACAACGATAAATGGTCGTCACAGTGGTAACAGCTGGAACGACAGTCGTCAGACGATAAAAAAACGGCACGATAAAACGTGACGACAGATTGTGGCAGCTCCTATTGTCGTCACGTTTTATCGTGTCGTTGTCGTTTTATTTATCTCGGTCCGCACGTGTTCTGCTCCCTGCCCTCCCCTCTCGTACCCCGCGCCCTCTGCTCGCTTTGCAGTAGCGTTGAGTCGTAGCCCGAGATGGGCAAGGAAGCTGTCGTGAAACGATAAATTGTCGTCACGATCTTGTGCGAACATTTAGTCACGACAAATCGTTCAACGATAAAAAATCGTCCACGACAGATAGTCGTGATATGGGAATAGGCTAGACACGACAGTCGTCCAATGATAATAAAACGTGACGACATAATGGGAACGCGCCCACATGGGAACAGGCTAAACACGACAGTCGTCCAACGATAATAAAACGTGACGACATAA